TAATGAAATCAATAAAAGGGCTCTCTAGATATAAGAGTAATAACACTAATTTCAACAAAAATGAATTTAGTACTTGGGTGGGCACTAATTAAACTAGTGGATATTAAAGAGCTTCAAAGATAAACCCTTAGCTCTTAAAGAAGATTTTAACCTCGACTCATCTGTGACTTCATGGTTGCAACTAATCAGTTTTTCCACCAGTCTGTTTGACTTAAGTTTCTAAACCCGCTGGCATAGAATCAGCAATGGGTCAGGCATATAGTAACTTGGGTTGAGGACCCAGAGTTTTCTGGCCAGGGAATTTAATAATGTGATTTTCCATGGTCTTTACATGAGGTGTGGGTATGGATGTTAATGTTTTCATTTTTTTGAAAATTGATCGTTTTTTATGAAAACGACAACTAAACAATCATTTTTAAAAGCAATCGTTTTTTAAAAAGTTTGTTTTTTAAAAATGGTCGTTTATAAAACGATTATTTTTCAAAACAATCATTTTTATAAAAATCGTTACAACCCTTTGTTAACAATGACCCTTTGTTAACACATGGTTCAAACTATAATAGATTGACTTTCTAAACAAAAGTGTATTTACAAAAGATATATGATTATAGAATAATGAAAGATTTATTATAAACTCCAATAACAAACAAATATACATATTCGTTAATACAAGAATAAAAACTTCAGATATTTTACAGCTCATAAAAATGCAATAATCTTCAATAAATACAAACTATTGTACTATATGAGAGAAAACAATAATTTCCCTTTGCAAAAGGACTTAATCTAGTTCATTCCGATCGAATATTAAGCAATGTACATTACAAATAACTTCATAATAATTAAAGATAACAAACGAATTTCAATACGAGGTTATTAGGGGAATTGAGCTGAGATAGAATTCCAACCAACTATTCAATCTTTCTCCACTTCTTGTATGGATGTTCGTCTTCAACTGCCTCTAGTACCTGTACAGGTTGACCAGCTCACTACTTTCGGGAATTTCTGATGCCTTCAAAATCCCCGTTGAATACCCTCACTCTGCATATCATGGCCCCATTTCAGCATCAAGTCAAACTAGACTTCCCGCCACACTATATACAACATAGAAAAATAGGGATAAATATTTCATTCCTTGCTTGTCCTCAAAAGGATCACAACTTTATGTATCTGTACAACACTAAGTTTTAATCTACACATTTAAAGAAAACAGCGTGCAAAATTCTGAAATAAGCTCATTTAATTGATATATATGCCTTTTTGTTCTCTGAATTGATCGATTAATGTCTCTCAGTAATTTGGTAGACATCATCAAAATCTGAATAAACATTGTATTCATCCAGAATCTTTTTGATCTGATCATCTTGAAGGCATTAAAGTCCCGAAAAGAGCATCAGCTTCAGTATTTGCTTTGCCTGAACTTTGTAGAATGTCAGATTCAAATAATGACAAGCACACTAACCATTGTGCAAATATTCCTCTGGCTTCCTTCAATCCTTGTAAGAAGGCAATAACTGTTGAATCTGTACTGATCAGGAACTTCCTAGCCCTGAGGACATGCACAAACTTCCTCATCCCTTGGATAACTGCATGGGAGGAAACCGGTGCTGGGTGGAATGGATAGATTTGCTAAAAAAGCCTATGAATCTCTCTTTCCCACCTTGGACCTGAGCTAATGTTCCTCCTGCTGCATTCTCAGAGAAATCAGTGTTCAAGATATTAGGTTCTTTAGAGTTGTAATCAGGGTAATATCTAATTGGTTTACTCAAAATAACTCTTTTAACTGCTTTATCCTGGTGATCTCATATGGGTTTAGGTTAAAAACCTTTTCATTCCTGTACTTGTTTAGTGGGAATACTACTTCCGTGTATTTAGGGATAAATTCACCAAATTTGAAAAAAAAATTGGGCAAACTGTTTCAAAATTTGTTTTTACTGGGTGCAAAAAAATATTTTTTGGGGGGCAAATGTGAGTGGAAACAGGGCATATTTTATGTCTGGGGGCATTTGTTAAATGGGGGCAACTTTATATTTTCTAGGGGCAATTTTATAATTAGGGGCAATCCAAGCAAAATTGTGGACTAGATGAAAATTTTGGGGGCAATTTTAAAATAATTGGTGGCAAATTGTGGGGAATTTGGAAATTTTATTTTTAATTTGTTAAAAAATTGTTTTAGATTATGATGCAGTTATGCCCTTTTTTCTTCAGAGAGTTATTTAACCATCTTGTCCCTGGATTTATGTATTTTAACATATCATGATAAACCAAAAAACACAGAAGTTTAGAAGTTTTAATTGAAAACATGCCTCATTTATATCTCATTTAGACAATTTTCAAATTGTAATAAATCAAATTTTGTTACATGCAAATTTTTAAAAGTTTGATCACCCATAATCCTTTCATGGGGTCACACAAGGTCCCATAAATATGAGGGTCTAATTAGTTCAGTCGTTTTGACGTTCATTGGATTCAAACACAGATTCATGGGGTGGGTATATATAAACTGTACAATCAGGTGGTTAAAATTGACCTGGTCTGAGATGGTCAATTTTGACCAGACAGAAAGAAAGGTAAAAAAGAGCAGTAAACATTAACTTTTTGCACTGGACGTAACTGTATCATATAACTAAAATAAAATGCCACTTTTCATAGAAATTAAAACAATATTTCACTGATTTATATCTGTTGGATCCAGAGGTTTCAGAATTTGAATCTCTCGCCATTGTTTCTAGCTTCTCTAGCACCTTATCAACCTGTAACATGCCTGCAACCTATAGGCAATACTCAGCATATCTGTAAGAAGGGCGGTAATATAACAGGACGACATTTGGCTTAAAAATGCTAAAAAATAAAAACGTAACCTGGTCAAAAATTGAATGTCTTGTCACTAATGGGTTAATAATTCAATACAACCTTTTATTGAGCTGGTGTAACAATGTGTGATTTTGTTGATCTTTTACGATCAGCGATTCAAGGATTTTTAGATCGCTGAGATCATAGCTACCTAGGGGTATCAATCCCCCCCCCCCTTTTCCATCCCTTGTACAGATCTAACGGATTTATTCGTGTTTATATGTGAATTCTATAAATAACCCAAGCCACGCGGAAAACCGAAGCCACGCCAATAGTTCCGTTATTCCAGAGGCCCGGGTGCTGGTGGGACGGCTGGCCAGCTCCAGTGGAACTAGGGTTAAAGCTCTAGCCTAGGATGGAGTGAAATCTGGGGAAGATAGTCAGTCGAAGACCAGCTCCCTAGTTAATAGGTTCCCCTGAAGATCTCCCATCACTCTGAACCATTCTCAATTCATTGATTCATATAGTATTTTCCTATAGTTTTGTATCATTGTAAATAATAATAAATTGTAAGAAAAACCGACTCGTCAAATATTAAATCATATGAGTAGTTGCATTGATTCATTTTTCTTTCATATGTAATACTAGCATTGAATAGATTAATATGTCACACAACACATTTTGATGAAATATGATATCTTCACAAAGTGAGTCCTATCTTTAGTAGCCTTGACTCAAGACACAGGGAGAAACAGACTAAACTGGGGTTTGGGTGAATGAGTCTCAACTGCAGTCTTGTTTCAAGACCTCTAGATGCAGGGGGGGGGCCTGAAGAAAGGGATGGGAAGCAGGATGCTCAAATATTCGCAAACATTTCAATGGATATTTCTCATGTTACAGAATATTGTTTGAAATTTAATATTTTTGGAAAACTGTGTGTCTTGGCCCGTCTTAAGGATGTCCTACATCTAGTTCAAGACACAGTCATTCCGGCAGGGATGTTTATTAACTGAAAAAAAAAACAATCCAAACAATTTGTATTAATAAATATGAAAATTGAGAAACTGCTTTGATTATTTTTTTTATAGTTACAAATAAATGTGTATATGAGATTTATTGTATAGAAGATGGCACCTTCTTTTAAAGACATCTTTTACTCAATTTGGCATTAATGAGACCAAGTTTTCCATGGGATGTTAGGTACTTTCCAAAAGGATTTTTCCCAAGTTGCAGCTTTCCAAGGGTATTTTCCCAAGTGCCAACTTGCTAAATATGCGATTTCCCAAGCAGCAACTTCCCAAGTCTGTCCTAGTCTTATCGCTCAGCCCCAAGCATGCTCTAGATGTGGCAATAGCCCCCTAGCACATCCTAGCTGAAATGTTCAATCACCATTGCAGCCTACAGCATCTCATAGGAGCTAACATAACTTTTGGCAAGTTGTCTCTTGGGAAATTGCATATTTGGGAAGTTGCCACTTGGGAAATTGTCCCTTGGGAAGTTGCTGTTAGGAAAATACCTTTTTAAAAGTACACCATGGTCTCAAGGCTGACGTTTCTCCAAAATCTCTTCAGTAGCTTTTCCAGAGAGTTAGGAGTCCATTCCTCCTTCCCCCAAAAGATATACTGAAGGTCCTGGAGCCACTGGAGGCTTGTTACAGCTGTATCACAGCTAGATACATCCTGCACAAATGTCTTTTTCGACTTCATCTAAGGACTCTTTTAATAAGTGATAGGTCTTTCAGAGACCACTAGGTCCATCATAAATGTGTGTTTACATCAAAACCTGTTTAGTAAGTGCAAATAGAAAAATAATTCATCAATTATTTGCTGATCACATGTTTTTCATAATATTTATATCAAAAAAGTCTGATGCATTTTTTTCTTTACACCCTATATCAATTATCATTGTTAATAATGTACCACCATGCATAAGGTGTAGTATGCTGATTGCTGTATGATACAGGTTAAGAGGTTGATAAGGCACCATTGCGAAGAATTAGTAGATAAATATAAAAACAAACAGTAATTTAAAGAAGTCAAATTTCAGAAAAGAATCTACAAATTTTTACAAGTTCTTTTGATACTTTAAGATATATATGAAATGTACTTGGTTTGGACAAGTATGTTTGTTTTAAAAAATTTTGAAGTGCTTTTAAACACTCCATTTCAATTGAAAGCATCAATTGGTGATTCAAAATTCACACTGAGAGAAAACACTTATTTTTCAGAGACAAGTATGAAAAAATGGGGAAGCAAAATATTAATACTTAATCTATCAGTTTTTGGTAAGTTAGAAAAAGAGTGTACTATAGCCTTCTGAAAAAAATATTTTTAAGATTTTATCAAAAAAAATATGCTGGTAAGAAAAGTGTATTTTATCTAAAAAAATAGTTAGGTAGGTTTAGCTAGGTAGATTCAGTTGGATGTATTAGATAATCCCATTTTTTTTCTATTTAAGTTTTTATTTCTGACACGCTTTTTTCAAGTAAAACATTTTCATATAAACAGAGAACCTGTTTCTTTACAATTTCTCTCTGTTTCCATATTTATGGACATCAATGCTGCTTGAAAAATGATTGTTTAGTTTTTCGTTTTTTTATGTCCTTAACAAAACAATCCGTTTGTTTTTATCAGAAAACTAAAAACATTACATCCCTAGCTGTGCCCATTGCCCGGGTTTTTTAGACAAGAAAATTTAATTCCCACTAACTAAAATAAAAATGTGTGGAATTGGCGTCAGAAATAGTGTTGCCCTTGATACAATCTATTTAGTGGTTTACTTACCAACATTACAAGAACATAAGCCAGATAAGGAATATAAATATTTATGAAAATAAAATGTTTAACATGCTTTCAAATGGTTTGATTCTGAATTTATTTAGGATTCTTTTTGGTATTGATTAACTACCCACTTCAAGAGCCTGGGACAAATAAGAAACCAGGAATATGTCAAAGATTGAAGTTTCAAGTCTTAAATTTAGGATTCAAATTCATCTAAATCTTAAAAAATAAAAAAATGAAACACAATCATCTACTTTTTTATGATTTCAAATTGTGTTCCATAAAGTCTAAGAAGAAAGGTGTACCTAGAAAAATGCTACACTTAAAAAACACTTCATTCTTAAAATGTATCAGATAAAATGAGAGTAAAGAAAAAAATCCTACTCTATCATTTATATTATTGCATGTTTAAAAGTTAAAAATAGAAAATTTTAACAATTATTTAGTTTTTTGTCAAATTAAACAACTTCAATTAGTAATAAAATATAAAAAATAGAGGGAGTGACAGCAATTATCAAAAATGTCAAAAATAGGAATTTCCCAAATGCCTACAAATATTTGAGTGTGGTATATTTTTAAAGATTTTGGAAATTTCTCAAATAACCGGATATTTCCAAGATACCCAGGCATTTGGGGCATTCCTGAGGAATTTCCCGAATACCCAGACATTTGGGGAATTTCCCAAATGCCTAGGTTTTTGGGAGACTCCCCAAATATCCAGTCATTTGAGAAGTTTCCAAAATCTTTAAAATGTACCACCCTCAAATACCTATAGGAATTTGGGGAATTTCCCAAATGCCTGGGTATCTGGGAAATTTCCCAAATACCTACAGATATTTCAGGGTGGTATATTTTTAAGATTTTGGAAATTTCCCAAATGCATGAGTATCTGGGAAATTTTCCAAATGCCTGGGTATCTGGGAAATTTCCCAAATGTCTGGGTATCTGGGAAGTTTCCAAAATGCCTGGGTATTATGGAAATTTCCCAAATATCCAGTCATTTGAGAAATGTCTAAAATCTTAAAAAAATACCACCATCAGATACCTATGAGAATTTGGGTAATTTCCCAAATGCCTGGGTATCTGGGAAATTTCCCAAATGCCTATTTAAAAAAATGTAAATGTCGTGTCATGAAGTATAATCACGTCCAATCCAGGTATATATATACTAGGGATTTCTGGATCCACATTTTACTCCCATGTGATTGGTTAGGGCATATGTAAAATCTTCACCTTAGATAGAGTTGGTCATTGTTCAGCTTTTTATTGATAAGGTAAATCCATATACAGTTAATCTAGGTTTAATCTGCTCTCTATGGAATTCGGAAAACCTTGGTTTACCTACTCCTGTTCAGGATCTGTCTTCCTCAACCTCAAAGGCTCAAATATATCTCTTAACAATCTCTTAACAACAGCTTCCACATTTACTGCTGGTCCATTCGCTGCTTCTATTGTAATACTAGTTACTACAGAGATGTTTCTTCTTTTGTTCTTTAATGCTTTCTTTACTAACAGAGCTGATCCCAAAGTCTCTACTACTCTGGCTGCTTCCACTATCTGAGATGCATTCCCAGCTGCTTCTTTTGCTGGATTGACAACAGGTCTGCAAAGAGCTTTCTATAGAGAGCAGTGTCTCCTGTATCAAGATTTCTTATTCCTCAACTGCTATTTCAACAGATCTGTGAAGAGCTGCCTGTAAAAAACAGTGTCTCCTCTCTCAAGATTATCTAATTTTTCAGCTGCTTCTACAACAGATCTGTGAAGAGATGTATTTAAAGAGCAGCATCTCCTGTCTAAAGATTACATTGTTCTTCAGCTGCTTCTGAAACAGATCTGTGAAGAGCTGTTCTGTATGAAGCTGTGTCCTAAATATTTTAGTCCTCCTTTATATTCTGGATTGTCCAAGTTTTCTTGCGTGTCATGGATATCCTAGTTCTCCTGTGTGCCTTGAATATCTTAGTGCTCCTGTTTGCCCTGGAAATCCTATTTCTCCTGTGTACAAACACTCTAGCTGCTCCAAGTCTCCAGTAGCTTTGTTCATAGAACCAGCTTGAGAATATATCTTGTTCTGTAGTTTTACTGCCTGGTTTGAAGTTGGACTTGTTTGCCCTGGACATCCTAGTTCTCCTGTATGTCATGCATGTCCTAACTGCTTCTAATCTCCAGTGGCTCTGTTCATAGAACCAGCTGTAGAACATATCCTGGTCTGTGGTTGGACTAGCTGGTCGGTAGTCGGACTGGCTGGTTTGTTATAGTTGCTGCAGAACACCAACAAGATTGGTTCCTTGCAAAGGGTAATCTGGAGAGGATAGGGCAGCATCTGATATCCTCAGTGCTGCTGAGGATTCAAAGGATGCATTGCATATTCCTTTATGATGAAGGGAAAGGAGTAACCATGCTTTAAATACTAAATTATTGTAAAACTATAATTTCTATAATTTAAGAATAAATTAACTTTTATGTGTACTATGTTTTTTTTTTATAAATTGGCAAATATATACATTAATTACATATATAGAGAAAATATATTTACATACAGAGAACAACATCCTGCATTAAAGTTGCTTGTCCACATGACTTCCTAGCATTGCATGTTTTATGCAAATATTTCATCTGCATATACATCTTATTTATTCTCCCTGCTTTAGAACCTTCAAACCATCTGCCACATATAGATTTACAAGCGTACTGAAGACTTCTTTTTTAAAACAATATAGAGATTTTCTAGCTCCAAATTAAACTGATTTTCTTGTAAATAATTGTTGATAAAAATTGATTTTGCAAAAACTCTTCCAATATGCATTCTGCACCCCTTTTCTATCCAAAGAATCAGTTTTGTCAATTACCACTATGTCAACTGGCTTAAATTTACCCGGAGAATAGGAATAAAGGGAAAGGAAATGGCATTGGTCTGGCATGAGAAAGCCAGTCACACTGTTTTGCAGACAAGTTCGATAAACTTTACACACACTCTTTTGGAACAGACACACAACATGACTGCAGTCAAGAAAATTGCAGAACAATGTTGTCAATTATTATTAAGCTTGAATAACAACTAGTTTATTGTAATCTTTAATCAAATTATATTCTTCACATGAAAATTTGGCTTATAGTGTTGACTTAAATTATATACTACATGTATATTTAACTTATTTTTAAATAAATAATTAAAAAAACAAATATACTCTCCTATACTGTACAAATACTGAGATTCGTAGGTACTCTATATACCTACAGTTAAAGTTGTTAATCGTATTTGAAAACGATCGTTAAACCATTGTTTTTGTTTAGTTTTCCAATCATTTTCAAAAACAATAGTTTTGTTTTTGGGAATAAACGATTGTTTTCAAAAAAATCCACTCATTTTGAACTTTTAGTAAACCTATAACACTCGTTTTTCAAAATGATCTCTTTTTTTTAAAACGATTTGCGACCGTTTTTTATATGATTGTTTTTTTAAAAACAATTGCTTTTGAAAAAAGTTTTTTTTGAAAAAAAAAATTTATTGACAATTATGTTAAAGATCGTTAATGAAGCTGTGACACTATATACACAGAGAGATATAAGAATTAATAATTTACAACCCCCTTACCCCGCCTCACATCCCTAAACAGCTTTGTAACTCTTCCCTTTTAACATAAAAAAAGTAATAATCTTTAAAAATAAATCATTTTATCATCAAAAGTTCAAACTTAATATAATGCAAAATAATAGAGTAGTGTTTTTCTTTAATAGAGTTTTATCTGGTATTAGTGTAGCATTTGATGTAGTATATGTAGGGCTGGGAATGTTCCGACTTTTTTGAAATTGTTCTGTTCTGTTCTAAAACAAGGGCCTTTAGCTAGATCGTTCTGTTCTTGTTCCTCTTTTTCCAATCATTTTGTTCTTGTTCTGTTCCGTTCCGTTCTTGGTATTCTTAAGGGATTTCATTCCCATTCAGTTCTTAGTCAAGAACATTTTCATCCCCCCTTCCTTAGAAAAATATTCTAAAATTTCATTATCAATATTTCAACAAAATTAAAAAGATATATAATATAATACAATTTCTTACAACCTGATTAAAAAATTGAAATAAAAAATCTAAATATTTCTAGATGATTTAGAACACATTCCTGATTTTAAATGCGTTCCAACTTAGAAGGCATTCTTGATAAAAATGATTGAATTCCTGATTTTAACGTTCTTTTCAAGCAATTTCCGTTTTTTTACTAATCGTTCCAATGGGATCCTTCTTGATCATTCCCCAGGAACCATGCCCAGCCCTAGGTATACATTTTATTTATTGGCATGAAATATTTTTATGTAGTGTTTTTTAGTGTAATTAGAAGCAATTATAATATTTAAAGCATTATTTGTTAGCTTCAATAGCAAAGTTTTCTTTGAATTATAGAACTTTGAAATGTTTTCAGTAACGCAGAAGCCAAAATATATACTGTACTATAGTCAGGTGGAAGAATAAATAGTAAATACCATATTAAGATCACTAAAGATTTCTAAAGCTATCATGTATTTTTCCAAGCTGTGCAATTTACATAAAAAATCCTGTGGCCAAATTATTATTTTTTTTTGGAATGAAAATTATTTAAATTTGTTTTTTGAAGAGATAAATAAATTGCCCTGAAGTGCAGAACAGTTATCACACTGATCATAAAATATTTGTTTTTGTGCTCACTGGATACATAAATAAACTCAAAATCAAATGTTTATGTATAATGTAAAAAAGCAACATGTTACAAATTCTTTCATGTAACAATTGTCAACATATTTGCTCCAATTATGGTTGCTTAAAACATGAATGTTGATATTGTTAGCAACTGCTTTTGAATACTTTGAATCTAAAATAAGAAAAGAAATATAAAACTTAAAGGAAAAAATATTTTAATTTATATTAGTTTTGGTCCTCAGACAATTTTGGCCATGGATATGGAATGAACCCTTTTGTAGCAAACAATTGCTCAGTGAATAATTGTTTTATTACAAATAACAGGTTATAACCTCTCGAATATTTTATTAATTTTTATGAACACCCCTTTAAAACAAAAATCATTTGACTCATGCTGAGGTTTAGTCTAATCCAACCCTACTTAAAGATGTTATATTTTCAGTTTAAGAAAAACAACCTTCCATTGTATAAAATTAAGCCTAATGACATCTGGTCTACCCAAAAACAGTCTGGAAGAGGGGTCCAAGGGATCCCTCACTCTATTTCCATATTGTAATACAAATAGCTATAACATTTGATACATTTTGAAAAGTCCTTGGGCTCTGTTTTAATTAGCTGCAAATGAATTTGCAAATTTGCCAGGCCACTGTGCAAAATCTATGCAAATTTGCTTTCCAAAAATTGTGCAATCTGTTTTCTTTTGTTCAAGCCATAAAAAGTTGAAATCCAAAGACAGGAAGTAGGTCTAAATAAAGAATTAGTCAGGTAAAGGTAAAATAAGGCATTCAGGCAGTATGCTCAGATTTGAGCCTTAATTGAGGGGCATATTTGAAGAGAATGGAATATATTAGAGTGGAATTCAAAAGATCCCTATGCATGAATTTTGTCAGTCCCTTTCAGTCTGAAAGGGAGTTCAGAGAGTACAATTCACGTAAATGTAAATTATATGCAGTACATCACACTGATACAGTATGATCCCTGGACATATCAATTCCAATTTGTTTTATAAAATTGTTTAATAACTTTAAACGTGTGTATTTTCAATAGGTGAATTAAATTCATAATATTATTAAACATGAAAATGTAAAAATCGAAGAAGCCTTCCAACTTTAACCCTATCTCTGCTGAGTGCTTGAAAACCAGGAAATGCTGGTCTGGATCAATTTGACCCCCCCCCCCCCTAAATCCCATGTTTGATGTCCAAATATGACAAATGATACATCATTAAAAAGCTCTTGTGCTCTACTTTTAGAATCTGCAAAAAAATTTGCAAATTTGCAAAAATTGAATTGTTTATTGCAAAATCCAGTTCAACAGTAAAAATGTTTGCAAAAATAAATTTGTCCAAAAAATAAAAAATTATACAGTTTTGAAAAGCCCTTGACCATGCCATTTCAAATATGCAAAATTTTTTGCAAAGTTTTAAATAACCTGAGTTTTAATCAAGAAAAACTAAAAATGTGCAAATTTCCTTTGACAGGTTGTTTCGAAAAAATTTGCAAGTTTTTTTTTCGCAAAACTTGTGCAATTCTTTTTCTCATGTCGAAGGCTTTCCAAAAAGCAAAATTTTATCAAAATCTGACAAGTAGAAGTGGGTAAAAACAAAGATTTAGTTTGTTACAGGAAAAAGCAATCATTCAGGCATGTGCCTGAGTATTAAAGCCCGGTTTTAGGCCTAAAAGGAGGGCTTTGGGTATGTAGGAAAAGTCAGAAAATTTCAACAGCCTCAGACCAATACTTTTTGAGTTATGTAAAAAAGCTACAGGGGTGGGGGGTCAAATTAACCCCCCCAGCAGGTATAGGGTTAATAATAAAGATTTCTCTCTGATTTTTGCACCCAGAGTTGAATTGTGATCTAGTTTTGAATCAAACAACAAAATGTGGGATTTTTTCCAGCATTTTTCAGGCATTTTTTAAAAAATGGGCCCATGTTTACTTTACCAATTATTCTGTAAAAACATGATTTGATAAAGATGATTTCTTGGAACTAATTTCTTTTGTAGATTTTCCCAAAAAGGTTTTTAAAATTTTCAATTTAAAAAAAAATATTGGATTTATTTTAATTTGATAAAAATCATAGTATGTAAAAATCAAACACACACATAACTAAGAAAACCATTCTTAATAAATATGATAATGATTTATCTACAATACTTTCTTACATTTAAGTTAAACGATGAATCACTGAGCTTAGAATAAAGGATCATTATATAAACATTTGTAAACTTTGAAAAAAATAGATTAATGAACTATATAAATCATTTAAAAAAAAATTGAAAACATCAATACTTAAATTGATGACTTTAGACACCCACCCAGATGGCCCTATCAAAAAGTTTTTGGAAAAATGGCCAAAAAATGCAAGAAAAATGGGGGGGAAAATTGTTTTTATTCAAGCATTATGCTTCCTTTGGGCAAAGGCCATTAGGATAGACATTTTGTGTGCCATTTAACTTCCTCATTCTTAACTATAATATTTTGGTATCTTGAGTATTTCAAAAATATTGGTTTTACTGTATTATTACCTCAAATTATAAAATATTTTTTTTACTAAATAATAACATCAAATTGATTTAACTAGGGAATGCATAACAGGCAATCAGAGAATTGATTTAAAGAAAACAAAATAATTTTAAGAAAACTTTTCTATAAAATGATGTTCCAGGGCCCAAAAGTTTAAATTGCACAAATGTGTTCAGTTAACCAATAGTATGCAAACAAAATGGCCGTTTTACACTTTTTTAAAGTAAATTCCACTCTAATAGATTCTATTCTCTTTAGTTGTACAGCCTCAGACCAATAATTTTAGAGTAATCTACAAAAAAGTTAGGGGGGGGGGGTACCAGGGACCCCCTTCTCCCGAAATAGGGTTTGTTGTTTGAATAGTTTTTAGTATTTAAATTCAAGTAGGGCTTTCAATCACTGTTTACGGGAATTTGGCCAAAACTACTGAACAGCAAATGATTCTATTCTGAAGGTCCTTACTGCCTGAGATTGAAGATTTTGATATGATAATATTTTACACTGGTCGTGGAGAGGTATCCTATTTTACTTACAGGGGTTTAAGTATAACTGAACATGATGATTCAGAGCTGAAAACTTTAGAATCCTTAATCCCGATCAGTTAATTAATCTATAGATTAATAACAAGAAGAGAACAAGCAAAATTTAACCTAGAGATAGAGAAAAAGAGTAGAAAAAGCATTAATCTCGATATCAACCATTCAAAAGTTCCCAGCTCAGATCATCTTTGATCTTTCATACCTTTCTCATAAAGTGGCATGTTTTTCATAAATAAATTTTCTATAGATTTACTAACTAAATATAAATTTATTTATTAGCATACTAAAAATTCTATAAAATTATGACAGTTACAATATTCAAATAAATAGGAAAATCACAATAATTCTCTTTAAAGCTGGATATTAATTTATTGCTATTTGTTAAATTATTTTTTTGGGGAAAATAAACAATAATGTTTCTAACATTAAGGTTCCAAAAAAAAGAAGTCCAAAACAATTTTATGTCTACTTCAGTCTGGAGGCCCCCCCACAATCTGGCATTAATGGTTATGCAGAAAGGTATAATTATCATTTAAAAATTGGTTTTCCAGGATCAATTGGAAGGGGGGGGGGAAGGTGGTATTTAGGATATTTTTTTTAATTTATACTACTACTCAGAAATAAATATTGCCTATTTTTAATTAGGTATAAGTCATTTTTTAATTTAACAATGACGTACAGAAGAGATTCAGATATCTTTTTACCCTATGGAGAACTGCAATCTGGAGATTATGTCTCTACTATAAAAAACAAGTTAAAAGAAACCAGTTCTAGACTTACAGATGACAGAAAGCTTGTCGCATGGGTTGTATCTCATTGTGAAACACAATCAAAACGGGAAAAATATGTTCAGGTAAATTAAATTGTGCATTAATATGAAGTATTAAATTGGTACTAAATGGTAATTTTCAGCTGTTGTAAATGTGTTAAAGTAACAGAATAAAACATTTTAAGGTTTATTGAATGGCATATGGAATGGCAACTACCCTCACTTCCCTAACTACTGTCTAGCTACATCTGTTTCAAAAAATTTGCTTTGTTTTGAGATTTTTTTCATCACTAACAAAAAGAAATGAATGTTTTCAAAAGAAGGCAATTTATTGCCTAATTTTTGAGCCTAAAATATCTAATCTTAAACCAAAATTAAAGTTTTGGCAAAGGTAGTCACTTATTTAATGACTTTTTGAGATTTGAACCATGCAACATTCATAACCATATTTGAAAAGTGTTTTTAAAAGAAATTCCTATTCATAATTTGAAAAAAAAAAACTATTGTTCTTGCTAATTAAGACCATCATAACAAATTTATATGAATACATTTAATTAACAGAAAATGAAAAACTGGATTCCCATTGATCAATATGGTAAATGTACCGCTGGGGGAGACTGTGATAACACTTGTTACATGAATCTTGGAACTAAATACAAGTTTTATCTCTCATTTGAAAATTCACTGTGCAAGGATTATGTGACAGAAAAGCTTTGGCGGATATTAGGAAAATATTTAAATTACTTTTGGAAATAGATAATTTAAATAATTGGTATTTTTCAGAGAAGCAACTTCTTTAAGTTTATTAACTCCATTCTTTGGAAACATAAATTTTTAAAAAATCTAAACCTTTAAAATATAGTACTTTTCTGAGACAAGAAAGAGATTAATAAAATCAAAGTTTTACTTTTAAATATTGAATTTAGAGCAAGACATGATTCCTGTTGTGTTAGGTAAATTGTTTATTTTAAATACCATATCAGTTTTTGAACTTTTCTGATTGCACAGCAAATTATTTACAGGATCTGCGAATTATACTGATGTGGCCCCTCCGCATTCTTTTATTAATGTTCAGGAATAATAAAGAATCAAGAAACTATAATTTTTATCATATATTTTTTATTTTTTAATTTTTATTTACATTTTTACAACATTGTCATAAATCCATACTTTTTGGGGTAAGGAAGAGTAACTTTTATAACTCTCTTAAAAGTATAAAGCTTGACGCTATAATCTCTATGTTGAACCGTATTCCCGGATGAATGGAAAAAGTTCAGAGAGAGTACCATACCTGCATCAAATATTGCATAATTTTTGGTAATTGAGAAAATAAAAATGCACATTATTGGCGTAAATTTGTACAATAATATTATGTAACGCTTAAATTGCGCTCCTTTTGCGCAATTTGGCTAGCTGGGTATCATTTCCTGCAACTAGGTTTTCTGGTTGCCCACAAAGAAAGAGACAAGAAGATGGACTTTTCTAATACAAAATTATATAGACCGAAAGTTAGATTAAATTTTCATAATAAGAATTATATTTTCTACAGGTTAGCAGGCAAAGGACTTTTTTTCTGCCTTGTTGCAGAGACTTTATCTTTACATTAAAACATTGAATGATGAATACCCTGAAAAAGTTGAATTTGGAAATAATGTTCAAACTGAGATATCATCCTGTTTCCTGGTAGCACTGTAATTGCTAATTTTTAAATGTTTAACTGGTATTTTTGGTTGTCAATATACATTGAGGCCCTTATTATAGGAATATTTTGTAAAAAAATGTACTTATTACTAAGAAAAATTGTACATTTAAACTACTGAAGGTGGAAAACAGTTGATTCATAGGTCGTTTTAGGCTTAAGCTTTAAGCTGGTCCTAAAATTTTTTTTAAAGAAAAAATTGTTTGTTAAATTTTTAATATATTTTTTAGATGGTTTTTCTGAATATTATATGAATTTTTATCAACAGATGGGTTTGTTGAAACTGATAGGTTAAAACAATCATTTTATTTTTCATAGCCATACATAGTCAAAAGTTAAAATTCTTTATTCCTCTTAGGATTTTAAGTCCCCTGAAGAGTTGGCTAAATATCTTCTAAAACTTGAAAAAAACCAGAAGGTTATATTCCTTACTGAGGGTGAAGAAATCAGCCAATCACCCACCGGAGTTCACTACGTTTTTGCTTAAAAAAATATTGCAATAAAAAAAACTTAAAAATCGTCCACAGGGTTCTGCATTGACAATTTAATATTGGAGACATCACCTTAAGGCCAAAAAAAAAATATTTCAAAAAATTAAATATGATACATCATTTTCTTCAAAAATTTCATGCTGAATTCAGAAATGATGGACAAAAAATAATACTTCATTCTGGTTTTTTACTTGTGAATGTTTTTGATGAGTTTTTTAAATCTTACTGGTGCTATGGAAATGCCTCAACACGGAAACGGACCCAAAACTGAGTTTGGGTCCATTTCCTTCTTTTTCAAGAATTATCGGAAATCCCTCAAAAACTAAAAAGTGTTGAGGGATTTCCAAATATTTTGGGTCAGTTTCCACTATATTTACATTTTACTTATTTCCCGTTTTTTTTTGGGTCTGTTTCCTCTTTTTTTTGGGTCAGTTACTCAGTTTCTGGTTCTCTGAAAAAGTTTCAAACTCTCAGTTTGTTGATCGGTTTCCTCTTTTTTGGGTCCTTTTCCTTTTTTTTTTGGGTCCATTTCCGATTTTCAGTAAAAGTTTTTAATTCTCAATTTGTTGATCGGTTTCCTTTTTTTTGGGTCCGTTTCTGGTTTTCAAAAAAGGTTTCAAATTCTCAGTTTGTTGATCGGTTTCCTCTTTTTTAGGTCTGTTTCCCCATTTTTTTGGGTCCATTTCCAGTTTTCAAAAAAAGCTTTAAATTCTCAGTTTGTTGATCGGTTTCCTCTTTTTTTGGGTCTTTTTCCGATTTTCAAAAAAGTTTCAAATTCTCAGTTTGTTGATAGGTTTCCTCTTTTTGGGTCTGTTTCTGGTTTTCAAAAAAAGTTTCAAACTCTGAGTTTGTTGATAGGTTTCCTCTTTTTGGGTCTGTTTCCTCAGTTTTTGGTTAAGTTTCCAATTTTCAAAAAAAAAGTTTTAAACTCAGTTTGTTGATCGGTTTCCTCTTTTCTTGGGTCCATTTCCTCATTTTTTGGGTTCGTTTCCGGTTTTTAAAAAGTTTCAAAATCTCAGTTTGTTGATCAGAATTTACCCATTTTTTTATATGTTCCCCCATTTTTGGGTCTGTTGCTGGTTTTTAGAAAAAGTTGTAAATTCTCAGTTCGTCGATCATTTTCATCTTTTTTTGACCCGTTTAATCATATTTAAGGTTAGATTTTTAAGAACTTTTAAATTCTCAGTTTCCGCATTTCTGCTTTCCTAATAAAGTTTCATTCTAATGAAAACATGTAAAATCTCAAAAAACAAATAAAAACTAAGTAAAGAAATGCCAACCAAATCATTTATGCATATTTAAATA